AGATTCTCTAACCCAAATCGACAACAATATAACGATACGTGACGAAGGAAAAACTGAAGATAATTGTAGTAATAGCAATGCTGAAACAAATTCTGAACAAGATAATGATCCAGAGGAAATTGAAATTAATGAGAACTTAGAAAATTTACATGGTTCTTCCAGTAATAATGACTCTGAGTATATTAATATTAATATTGGTAACGATAGTCCCAATTTTGGCACGCAGCGTGACAGAGATGCTTATATTTTAAGAACACTTAAAGAGTGGGCATTACGGGGCGTAAGTCGGAAAAAAATTAATGATTTACTCTCTAGATTGCAACCTCTTTTCCCGATTTTACCCAAAACTTATAAAACTCTCTTGAAAACTCCTCGAAAAGTTTCTTTGAAAGCAATTGGTACAGGAAAAATGTGGTACAAGGGTATTCAAACTAACATATGCCAAAAATTATCCAATGCCTATATAATAGATAAAGGTGAAATAGTTATGGATGTAAACATAGATGGACTAAATTTATATGGCAGTACGGATGGCGAATTTTGGCCAATTCTTGGGTGTTTTAGTGACGAGGCAGATCCGTTTATTATTGGCGTTTATTATGGCAATAAAAAACCAGAAGATATAAACATGTTCTTAGAAGATTTTGTTAGGGAAGTCAAAGAATTAAGTGAAAATGGATTTGAAATAGATGGAATTGTTTACCCTTTCCGAATACGAAGTTATGTCTTAGACGCTCCAGCTAGGGCTTTCATTAAGCAATGTGTAGGTCATACAGGACGATTTTCTTGTGAAAAGTGCACAGTTGAAGGTGAAAGATTTCGAAATCGTCTCACTTTCACAAATTTGGACTGCCAACGTCGAACAAATGACTCTTTTGTCGCCAGAGAAAACCCACAACACCACATTGGTATTTCACCTTTAGAGGGTATTGGTACTGGTATGGTTTCACAATTCAGACTCGATTCAATGCATCTCATATATCTGGGTGTATTTAAAAGGTTTATACACTTTCTGGTAGAAGGATCTGGCCATTATAGATTGCGTCGTTGTACAATAATGGAAATATCTGTAAGTTTAGAAAAAATTACTAAGAACTTTCCTAGAGAGTTCAATAGAAAACCACGTACCTTCAAGCATTATAATAGATATAAAGCGACAGAATGGAGAAGACTGTTGCTCTATGATGGTATTAAGATATTCAAAGATCATTTGGACCCCAAGATTTACGATCTTTATCTAATGTTACACAGTGCAATTTATATA